ACAGGGTGCCCAGAGAAGCTGTGGCTGCCCCTGGATCCCTTTGAGTGCCCAAGGCCAGGCTGGACATTGGRGCTGGGAGCAGCCTGGGACAGTGGGAGGTGTCCCTGCCATGGCAGGGGTGGCACTGGATGGGTTTTAAGTTCCCTCCAACTAAACCRTGCCATGATAATTTGCATCATACCTTTATTTTTCATACTGTTGATTACGTAGACTAATTTTTTGTATTGCGAAGGTGCAGATCCTAATTTTTAGATACAAAGAGAATGTTCACAAGCTGATTAATGAACAGCTTTAACTGAACAGAAACCAACCCTGGGATGGGATAGAATTTGTTTTGCTGTTTAGAAGCAACAGGATGATCTTCTGTTGTGCAAAGGTTTTGCTTTTCACTCCTAGACCACTTGTGGGGAAGCTTCTGTCCCTGTTCCCAGTTGGAATGGCTGGAGTTGCCTGTCCATTGGCTGGCTGCAGGGTCATTGGTGGGGCGGGATTGTTGGGACAGGAACATTTTAACCAGGGGCTGCCAATCTCTGCTCCCTTTGYGCCTCTGATCTCCTGAGTCCTGCTCTCCCCAGCCGGTAAAACATAACACAGAGTGAGTATGCCTTTAAATCACTGGTTTCAATCATTCTGGTTTAAAAGTTAAAAGTTTTAAATTAAAAACTTATATAATTTTAAAAGTTAAAAGTTTTAATTATTTTTTTAGAAAATTATGTTGTATGTAGTTCAACTTAGTACTGATAAAATTCGTCTTAAAAACACTTAGTGGTGACTGGCTCTGCCCACCACTGACAATGCTTGTTTAACTTCAAGGGGACATCTGCCTACCATGTGATAGATGTTCTTCTACATTGCTATTATATTACTGTCTTTATCTAACTTATCCCTTTGTTGTATCCCTTATTCTTTTCTCTTTTCTTCTTGCTTGATTTGTAGTATAAAAGTTGAGCATAATGTGCTTTCCCAAGCATCTRTACCATAGTCAATCATTCTTAGCCTAACCTGAGGCTTTTTGTTTTAGGTAATCATGTAGTTTTATTATTAAAACATGTCTGTAACTTCGTAATATCTGTATTTGGCCCAACACTGAATCAGAAATCTGTTAGTCTCCGCAAGCATGAAACACCCATTAAAGGTTACCTCTGGTGAGTTTAGTTGATAGCAAGTGACTCAGTGTTAATTTTCTATATTTTATCCTTCTACCCATGTWTATTTTGACTTTATTCGCTCTGGGTATTTTACCTAATCCAGATATTTTGCCTCATCAGGGCAGCTTTAGTCAAGTCAAGCTGTAGCAGCTGATGTGAGGGAAAGGCATATCCCTGACTTATCTGAAAATCTGCTTTGGACCRTTTTTGCTTTTCCCTTAGAAATCTGTTGGATTTTGTTGATTTTTTCCCCCTTTTCTTKGCTAAGATGTATTTTGTGTTGTCATCCTCTCTTGTCCTCCTGCAAAGGGAGGGGTCTCTGAGCTCAACTTGGGGCACTGGACACGTGGGGTCAGGGACCTGGGGTGGTGTGTGACACGTGCTGGGATTACATCAGGGACACTCGTGGTTTATTTTGTCCTAAACTCTTATCTGGGCTCTGTTCCTCCCCCAGGGAATGGGAGGTGATCCCTGCAGCCTCTGCTCTGGAGCGAGGCTGGGAGAGCTGCGGGTGCTCACCTGGGGAAGGGAAGGATCCAGGGAGAGCTCAGAGCCCCTGCCAGGGCCTGAAGGGGCTCCAGGAGAGCTGGAGAGGGACTGGGGACAAGGGCTGCAGGGACAGGAGCCAGGGAATGGCTTCCCAGGGCCAGAGAGCAGGGCCAGATGAGATATTGGGCAGGAATTGTTCCCTGGGAGGGTGAGCAGGCCCTGGCACAGGGTGCCCAGAGAAGTTGTGGCTGCCCCTGGATCCCTTTGAGTGCCCAAGGCCAGGCTGGACATTGGRGCTGGGAGCAGCCTGGGACAGTGGGAGGTGTCCCTGCCATGCAAGGGGTAGCACTGGATGGGCTTTGGTGTGCCTTCCAACCCAACCCTAATTGTTTTAGCTCAAATTAAAAGCATACACAATTCATTTTCATAAATTATGTCCTTCCTTCCTTTCTTTCTTTACTACTTTCTGAATTTCAGTGGGTTTTGTCAATGAACTCCTCCATCAGTGAATATGTGGAGAGTACCCACAGAAGTGAATCTCAGAGAGCAGAGGCTCCCAGAGCTGCTCAAAGAACACCTTGTACTCTTGCTGTGGGTCCCATGTGCGTAAGCTGTGTGTGCACACCCAGGTGATGACGTGGTCACCCATGGGCCCACTCCCACTGGCCAGCAGAATGTCCAGGTGTTTTCCCAAACCTCACTGGAACAGGAGAGGGGAGTGGATAGGCCACACTACCTTGTCTGAGTGAGCTCCTTTATTAATGCCACCTGTTGCTGGCCTCATGGYTGTTCTTTCCAAGCTAGAGCTAGAAGTTATTTATTGTCTCACTGCTTGGAGCCTTTCCTTATYGTGAGGTGTTCAGAACTTTTCAGGCATTGCCTCTAAATACTCTTGTGTGGCTCTATCCAGCTGCAAACACTCCGTGTTCATATAGTCAGTGTATCATGAGGGCTTTGACCTTTGCTGACTTGGATTCTCCAAGCAATTGTTGCCCATAGAGGTTGTGGAYCCCTCATCCCTGGCAGTGYCCAAGGCCAGGCTGGACATTGGGGCTGGGAGCAGCCTGSGACAGTGGGAGGTGTCCCTGCCCATGGCARGGGTGGCACTGGATGGGCTTTAAGGTCCCTTCCCAACCCAAACTCTTCTGGGTTTCTGTGATTCTCTTGGCTGAAAATCCCAGCCTGGTCACTCCTCGGAGTTTTTCCTCTATCCCAGATTTCTGTATAACTGYGAGCCGATTTCAATGTGACTAAATCAAACCTGGGATGGGTTTCCTGACAGGTTCCTGCTGTGCTCTTGGGCAGTTCAGCCTTGAAGGTTTAATGTGTATCACATCTAATGATGTTCTCCAGCCCTTGGTGGTCCTGAAGCTCTTGCTTTCCTCACCTCCCTCAGCTAATTCCATCTGTGTCCTGGTTTCCTGCAGAGCCATGGCTGAGCGGGTGCTGGTGATCGGCAGTGGAGGCAGAGARCACGCCCTGGCCTGGAAGCTGGCCCAGTCCCCCCATGTGAAACACGTGTTTGTGGCTCCAGGAAATGCAGGGACAGCTGACAATGGAAAAATCTCCAATTCAGGTAAAATCAAAACCATTCCATTTCAAAATTTGATAACTCAATCAGGAAGTTGTTGAGCTGAAATCACAGCTGGTAATATGAAAAGATGATGATGATAATGATGATGATGATGATGATGATGATGATGATGATGATGATGGATTATAATTTTTTAATGTTTTGGGCATATGAACTAGACTTTAGATGTAGTTAAGAAGGAAAAAAGAAGTCTGAACAAAGCCTTGTATAAGCGGTACAATTAATTTTATAAGATCTCAGCTATGATATCTCATTGTTTAGCGGTTTGAAGGATTCAACCAGAGCTGTCCCTCGGGGAATCCAGCTCAGGACAATTGCTGTGGTTCCCACCTGAATTCCCTCCCTTGCTCTCAGAAGTGTGTTGAAACCCCACAATCCCCACAACCTGTGGCAAGAACACTCTGTCACTGTAAAAATTAATCCATTCCTTTGTTTTAGTGACCTTAAGAAATCAAGGTTGTTTTCAAATATTTCTCTCTGTGTACTGACTGCCTGGTTTGAACTCCTTGTTTAACATACTAAGCTCTGGCTATAATTAAAACCTTCCATGGTTATTAGTTTTGAGAAATCAAGCTTCAGATGTTGCAAATTGAGCATCCAAAATTTGGTGCTGCATTTCAAAAAAACTCTGGTCTGAGGTGCTGGCACCCAGGGAATCACAAACCACAGAGACTCCTGTGTCTTTTACATAACAGATGCAGATTTGGTGGCTTTAACCCACCTGAGAGTTCAGTTTTCCCTTCAGAACACGTAATAAAATATGGAATTCTAGTAAACATAGGATGCATGTGAACATGGATTATACACATACATTTTCTGCACTTGTATTGGTGTGGGAGTAGTTTTTGTGTTGCTGTCTCATGTGGAAGCATGAATCCTGCCAGGTTCTTGTACAGCAGGTAATTATTGTATAGAATGCCACTGAAATGCTCCATTACAGGCTTTTTAAAGAACTTTGACCTTAATTTCTTTGAGCAGTCACAGCATCTTGAGTAGTTTTTTGCTCTGTTGGGACTCTGATGAGAGGCTTGGAAGGAAGAGCTTGACAAGACCAGAAAGTCAAAAAAAAACCCTTTACTCTTGTGCTAAATGGAGTCAGTGCCAGGCTGCAGGGCCCGTGGAATGGGAATTACAGCATTTTTTTTTTCAAGCTGTGCCTTTTTAAACCCCCCCCCCTGTGATTTTCTCTCTTTCATTCCATAAAAAACATTGCAGTTCCAGTGGAAGATGCTTGAGCTCAAGCCAGGTCCAATAAATCTCCCATATGGAATAAATCATTTTGTTCTACACCTGTGCTTTGGGAGAGAAATATTCAGCCACCCAAAAAGAACCTAGAATTTATGAAGACTTTGACTTATGTTTTTTTTTAAGGAAAGAATCTATCTCACCTGTTCAGGATTTCAGGGGCCTTCATTTAACTCAGGGTGGAAAATTCTTTTAACTGAAAATTTAACTCACGGAAACTGCTTTACAGAAGCATATGAGGCCTGTTATGTCGTGTGGGCAACAATATTTGTGATATCTGAAAATATCTGGGGAACTCCTTCCCTTGTTTCTGGGGATTTTTCAAGATAATCAAGATTTGGCTCAGAAAGTTCATCCTCCCTTCATGGGCCATGAAATTGCCTTTAATTAGCATTGCAGCTCTGGGTCTCAGGTGATTACTGAAACATGCAAAAGTGAGCTGAAAATTATAAATAACCTCAAATCTTTCAAACTTTGCCTGTATTCAAGTCAGGAATTTTTTTTTGTGGTTGATCTGAGCTGGTAATTGTTTCCAGCATTAAAGAGGGATTTAGGTGGCGTGCCCCAATAYAGGTTTACATTCAATTTGATTGGATTGTCAGGGCAGTTTTGGTGCAGAGGCACAGAGAATGGCTTSCTGAATGCAGACACAGACATAGGTGTGTCTGTGCATGGACTTTGCCATCCTGACACCTCCTTCTGCCACATTTTACCTCCCAGTGTAACTYGTACTCTTAAATTCAAGCTCCCCTGTGAAAGCCTTGGTCCAAGGTCCTCCTGTCTGGTTCTGAAGGAATGTTCAGCTGTTGTTTTAAGCAAACATGCTTACAGAAAYGCCTCCTTTCAGTCAACAACCTGAGCAAAATGATGTTTGGGAGGAAAGCTAAAATCATGGATAAACAATGTGATTTGTTCCTTCTTGTTTGTTGGCAGGRCATTTCCCCATTGTGTAAAGCTTGTTGCACACTCACTGTTCATATCATGAGTAGATCAGACCTACAGCAAGAAATTTTGGGGTAAATTCCAGTTTGTTTCCTCTCCCTCCTTAGGGAGAGACTTGGGATAAGGGATGGAGTGGCAGGACAAGGGGGAATGGCTTCCCAGTGCCAGAGGGCAGGGACAGATGGGGTATTGGGAGGAATTGTTCCCTGGRATCAGGGGAGGCCCTGGCACAGGTGTGTTGTGCTTTTGGTTTTGCTGTCTTGTGAGCCAGAAATCAACTGGCTTCAGTTGCACGAGGAAGTCAAATGCCTTTGTTTCTTACCAGTGTTGGTGGAACAAAATAATTGAGCTGTTAAAGAGGTGCCAAGGAGGTGATTTTATTAGTGTTCAGTCTGGGTGTTCCCCTCACCCCACCTGAATAGAGTAAATCTATAAACAAAATCCAGGTTCTGTTGTGGAATCAGGAAATTTTGTGGCAGGAATTGTTCCCTGGGAGGGTGGGGAGGCCCTGGCACAGGGTGCCCAGAGAAGCTGTGGCTGCCCCTGGATCCCTTTGAGTGCCCAAGGCCAGGCTGGACATTGGGTCTGGGAGCAGCCTGGGACAGTGGGAGGTGTCTCTGCCATGGCAGGGGTTTGGAATGGGGTGAGCTTTAATGTCCCTCCCATCCCAAACCAGTGTGGATTCTCTGATCCTATGACTTTATTCATCCAGGATGGGAGGAGCACAATGGGCACTGACCAAAGTCCTCTCCTCTGTCATCACTCCCCAGAAACTGCCTGGGGGAAACCATCAGCTCCCAGTGTATTGCCAGTCTTCTGCCATGTCCCAAAGGAAAGGATGAGAGAAAATGGCCCTAAGTTGTACCAGGGGAGGTTCAGGTTGGAGACTGGAAACACTTTTTCCATTGCAGAGTGGTCAGGACTTGGAATGAGTTGCCCTGGGAGGTGGTGGAATCRCGGTCTCTGGAAGTGTTCAGGAAAAGTCTGGATGTGGCCCTTGGGGACAGGGTTTGGGATGATGCTGGTGCTGCTGGGGTGGCACTGGGTGATCCCAAAGGGCTCTCCCAGCCCTGATGATCCTGGGATTCTGTGCTCCCTTTGCCAGCACCGTGCCCTGGTGTGTTCAGTCTCCTCCCTGCACAAGCAGCCAATCCTCGCTGGGTTCATCTCTTTCTTGGCTCCCTGGCTCCGTGTTCCCATCCTCTGCAGACCTTGGCTTTATTTATTCATGATAAAAGCAGTGCAATTGCAGGGTCTTTGCGTAACTTTTGGACCATGAGATTGACATTATTGTCTTTGGTGCAGGACGTTTCTTTTGCTTGCACAGCTTGGGGCATTCCAAGTGTCGTCACATTGAATGTTTGTTTTTGGGAAGGGTATGGTTGTAACAACCTTAGTGACAGCACAGTGTCCTTCTTAATAAAGTTCACGTAATGGAAAAAAAAATTCTGATTCCCCTTGGTTTCAGAGGGCTCAGTTTAAGATGGCACTACAGAAAGAAGGAAAAAAACAAAATAGATGAATTGCAATTCTACCACCAGCCATTTGTTTCATCCCCCACAACTTCCTGGCACCTTGATCATAAAATCACATCATTGTGGAATGGTTTGGGTTAGAAGGGACCTTAAAGCCCATGGGCAGGGATACTTGCCTCTACCCCAGGGTTCTCCAAGCTCCTTCCAGCCTGGCTTCGCATCTGTAAAGCTCCATGGGGACCCTTCTCAGAGAGAAGACTTGCTGGAAAGAAAATCATTTTTTTTTTTACCTTGGGAGGTTTTTTTTCCTTGCATTCTTTGCAATGCTGCTTGTGCTGGTAAACAGGGTGCTTCTAGGGGTGAGACCAGTTTGCTGGGTCGCAGCCCAGGGGATCCCAGAGCTATTTTTCTCACCTTCAAGAGCAAGGTGGGTAGGGTCTGGAGGAGCCCTACAAGAAGTGCTGAGGTCCCTTGGCTTGTCCTGCTGGAATAGAGGGGACTRAGGGCAGAKCTCCCYGGGGGCTGCAGCTCCTCAGAGGGACAGCGAGGGGACAGCTCCGATCTCTGCTCTGGGACAGGGACAGGGCCAGGGCAGGCTCAGGCTGGAGAGCAGGGAAAGGTTCTTCTGTCCCCAGAGGGTGCTGGCACTGCCCAGGCTCCCCAGGGAACGGGCAYGGCCCYGAGGCTGCCAGAGCTCCAGGAGCGTTTGGACAGCGCTGCCAGGGATGCACAGGCTGGGATTGCTGGGGGGGCTGGGCAGGAACAGGGGTGGCACCGGGTGATCCTGGGGGTCCCTTCCTGCTCAGGATATTCCAGGCTTCTGTGGTTTGTGACTCTGTGACAGTGGATGTCCAAGCAGAGCCTTTGCCTGGGGTTTGGGGGTGTTTTGGGTGAGTGTTCTGTCAGGGTGGGCCTCACTCTCCCAGGTTCCCAGTGACCTGGCAGTGCAGAAGGTGAGGCTGGTGACTGCTCCGTGTAACTCAGTGCTGGGAACACCCATGGATGGAATCTTCCCCTGCTTTGTGTCTCCAACAGCTGTTCCAGTCAGTGACCACGCTGCCCTTGCCCAGTTCTGCAGGGATCAGGACATCAGGCTGGTGGTGGTCGGTCCGGAGGTCCCTCTTGCTGCTGGTAAGAGAAGCAAGCTGGAAATCACAGCCTTCAGCATTTAGGAGCAAAAGTAAATATTAGTTCTCATCTAAATGTTAGTTCTCATCTCGCATCACTCAACAGTGTCTCCAGTCTAAATGGAAACAGGTCCTCTGGAGGAGTTTCCCTGAAATTCAGAGTTGTGCTGAGGTGAAAAGGAATTTCTGCAGGGTAGTGTGCGAGCAAGAAAGCTAGTTTTGGATTTTTTATGGAGTTTTCATGTTTTGAAATAATTACCGTTTGAGCCTTGGTAAAAAAAAAAATTATAAATGCGCTGATAATTTTTCTGCTCAAGTCTTTTGGAATCTTCACAAAAGACTCATGTTGACCTTTTAGATCAAAGGGATMATAACAAAGGGGGGATTGTCATCCCTTCCCAAACCCAGCACATCTGGGGGCCTCCAGTGATGCAGGGTTACCTGCTCCTGGTTCCAGCGAGGAAAGCAGGCACTGCAGACATGGAGATGACTTCTTACTCCTGGCATTCCTGCTCTGAGGAATTGGTGCACCCCTGGGCTTGGCTGGCCTGACTCCCATAAATCATCTGGAGATTTATAACATGTTTTGTGTTTAGGAGTTGTGGATGACTTGACAGCGGCTGGGATCAAGTGTTTTGGCCCCACAGCGAAGGCAGCTCAGCTGGAATCCAGCAAGAGCTTTGCCAAAGCCTTTCTGGACCGCCATGAGATCCCCACTGCCAGATGGAAAGCCTTCACTGACCCCAAAGCAGCATGTGCCTTTATCAACAGGTACAATTCCTGGCATTTTTCAAATATTCCTATTGACAGTGTGCTGGATATCCAAACCAATCAATTGATTGCTCATGTGTCAATACCTTTGTGATAGAACACCTGCAAAGGTTTCAGAGGATCACCTGCCGTGACTCTCTCAAACTGCAGCAAGTCTGATAAAAATGGTTCCTCCTCCTCTAAAATAAAGTGAAAGTTCAGTGTTCAGTTCACAGGAGAATGTAGGACAAGCTGTTATTTTTCTGTCAGTCTGCCTGCTGGGGAAAGGCAACGAGCAGCCCAGAGTCATCTGTGCTGGCTTCTTGTCCATTTTCTCCACCAAAAAAMCTGGAGGGCTATTGAGCAACTGATGGTCTGCTCATCACAGTACAGCCCAGGTGACCCCAGGTGATGCAAGAGTGAATTCCTGAATGGAAARCAGTAATGAACAGTCAGGAAATTCCGTGGTGGGGGAAAGAGGCAGAATCCCTGCTCAGGCAGAGCATGTTGGCAGGAGTTTGGTGTGATTTCYGTATTATTCAATTAGGTTGCTGTGGAAAACTGAGAAGTGTTTTGATGTTTCAACTCTTGAAATGTTCCAAATGCCTTTGAAGGATTGTTTGTGTTGAGTGTGTGTTCTGTGCCTTGGCAGTGCCCCCTTCCCTGCTTTGGTTGTCAAAGCCAGTGGCCTGGCAGCTGGCAAAGGAGTCATCGTGGCTTCCACCAAGGAAGAGGCTTGCAAAGCTGTTACTGAAATCATGCAGGTGAGCAGGAATGTCTTACACAAAGCCAGCTGTTCAGCACCTCAGAGCATCAAAGATAATCTTTRTTTCATAGAATAGGAGCTTGGCTATGAGACATCAGCCCTTTCACCCATTATCTGTCCAGCTATGAAACTGTTGTATTTATTGCTTGAGACACAGTTCCTGTAGGCTAAAATAAAATCATTCTTCATGAAAACCCACCCTTATTTCACTTATTTATYTATGCAGTTCCTTTTTTTTTCACTGTTTGAGACTTTTGCAATCCAACAGGTCTCACAGTGCAGGAACATGAACTCAGTGATTGAGGTGGATCTTTGCAAGCACCATTAGGACCTAAATGTGTAGTCAGATTCTGGTGGAATTACTTCAAGTGAAGTTTAGGTTGAGGTAGGATATTCCATGAATATATTTGGAGCATCAAGGTTTGAAGTGAGGCCAAATGAAGTTAATTTTATCTGACCAGTGAGGAACACAGAGCTGAGGCTCCAGCTCAGGTCCTCAGCTGGTGTCAACAGCACTGCATCCTGAAATTCCATGGAGCTTTGGTCATCCATGGGAGACATTCTCTGACACACTTGTGCTTCAAGAGTCAGGACATGGGGCCTGCAGTCACGTTTTGGAGGTCTATGGTCATTGACAACACAAAAACTACAAGTTAGAGAGTCTAGAGACCTCCAAAATCACCTTGTCCGTGTCAGCTGGTTGCTCTTAATTACCCAGAATAAGCAGTCAGTGTCCAAGCATTGCACTGGGATATGAAAATATGTCTCCCTTCCCACGTATTGTATAAAATTGCACTTTTTTATCAAGTGAAAAAAGGCAGATTGGAGATTTGAAGTCATTGCTGTTGGGTGAATTTCAGAATGTAGAGTGTGAGGAATTGCTCAGTAATCACAAATACCCTCTGCAATGTGAAAATATTCACTATAAACCCTGCATTTATTGAAGAATGAACAAAATCTCTCTAAAAGCAGAGATTTTACCATTGCTGACATCCCTGGGGGTAGAATAGATTCAGTCTCAAACCTGTGCTGCATTTTTTGCTATATTAAAATACATATTTCTTGCTGCATTTCCAATAGTTTAAAATTGAAACAGAACTGAAGAGATTTTATTTTACTGTAGGATAAGAGTTTTGGCGCAGCTGGAGAAACGGTTGTTGTAGAAGAACTTCTTGAAGGAGAAGAAATTTCTGTAAGTGCATGTCACTGTAACACTTKGGTTCTACCTGTTCTGAACTGTTTGAGATACACTATTTAAATACCTTCACCTACAAAGTGTAGGATTTTATTTGTTAAATTAAAGCCATTGCCTGCTTATCAACAAAATTGTCTTGGTTAAAGACAGCTGTGTTAAGAACCAGGCTTCCTGTGGTCTATTACATGAAGTTAAATCAGATTAAATAAGAATAACTGGTGCCACATGGAAAAGGAACCCAAAATCTTAACAYTTTTAGTGTCATGGAGGCCCCAGATCTGTGTTAGGATTTTCTGACAGCTCAATGTTTTCACAGTGGTGATTTATCTGCAGACATAGAACATTTCCTTCATTCTAAGCTCCTTCATTTCAAACCTGGACCTGGTTTAATTGGCAGAGTGGGAAGGAAAACAAAGCCCAGGGTTGGGCAACTCGACACCCGCAGCACACAAAGGACAAGAGCCGAGCTCCAGCTCAGGTTCCTGAGTGCTGGGGCTGGAAGGGGCTGGTGCTGAATGTTGGGAACATTCCTGTGGAGCTGTGGTGGTTACAAAGGAAATCAGCCCCAGCTCTGGCCATCTCTGCACGGGCTGGTTTCCTGCTGACATGACAAATGGATGTGCAAATATTGGGTGTCTGTATTCCCTCCTGCTTGCCTTGACCTGTTTAGGAGCTGAGGGATTATCCAGCTCTTCATTCTCTGCTGGGAAATATGTCTGCTCCTAAATATTCCCTGGAATACCAAGCAGATTTATTGCAATATAACACACAATACAAACATGCAGTGTAAGGTGGTTTTTTTTCAATGCTGATTGACAGTTATTAAAAAAATTTACTGCTTGCCATGCCCCAGCAAAATAATTCACCTTCTACAAATGACTTACTTTTTATTATATTAATACTGTGGGTTATTTTGGATCGTTGCTGTTTTTATAATTAGCATTATAAAATGGTTTTGTGTAGTGTTCCCATTAGTCCAGACAGGGAACAACGTTACCCAGTTAGAGTGAACAATATCACCCAGCTCCAGAAGATGCCAGCAGCCTTGTAATTCTGAAGATATCGAGGATAAAAGCAACCGCTATATAAATAATTTATAAGTATTTCATAAATAAATAGATTTATCAGCAAGGAAAAGGAAGTCTTGAAATGAATATAATGCCTTCCTTCCGGGGCAGGGGGTGGGAGGGGAAGGCAAGAAGCAGTTTCCATCATGCAGTATTTTCTTTTTTCTTTTTTTTTACCTTTTTGAGTGTTTCTTTTCAGTGCAACTGCTGATGGTATCATTTCTGTAGGTTTTATTAAAGGTAATTTCTGAAGGAAGGTCACACAAAATGAAGGTCACCCTTCTTCCTGAGGAAAAGGCAAAATGCTTAGAACCCCATCATTTATTTTGTCACTGTCGTGGTTTGAATGAATTTAATGGGAGCAAAACACTCCCAAGTTCCAGCAAACCTCTCACTCTCTCTTTTCCCCAACCGGGTCCTGGAGACAAACTTTTCCACAGAGAGGAAAGTGAAAAGAAAAGGRAAAAAAACCTATTTATTTAAAATTATAAAAACAAAAAAAAAAAAACCTGTGGAACCAGCTGTTGATCCCAAAGCCTTTCTCTTCCCTCCTGGGAGTAGCCACCCCTCCGGGGCCCCCAGAGGGGTGCTCAGAGTCTCTCCGRTGGTTCACTGAAGGATCTTTCTCGCCTGTCGCACCACGGGAATCCTCCAATTCTCAGACGACGAAGAAAAAAAAATTCGAGGAAAAACAAGTCCAAAGAAAGGGAGAAAAAAAGGAGCAGTCCTAGAGAGCAGACAGCTTCTTTTCCACCGCTGATCCTGAGAGAGCCTCCCGAGAAAAAAAAACAAAACGTGTGTGTCTTGTCCCTTTACCTCCCATTGTCCTTGAAGGGGTGAACATCACCAAACAAACCAGAGCAGTCTCGACTAATGTATGGTTACAGAAGGGTTGTTTAACTTTCCTCTAACATAAGCAGATGATAGGAATACAATACTCAGCTAACCTAGGACAGTCACAGAGGCAGGGTTTATCCTCTCAAACATCCTTTTGTCACAATGAAAAGCATCTATATTTGCACTACTTGCACTTTAATTTTGAGCATACAGAGGARTTTTGACTCTTTTCCTTGTTTTTAGTGCCTGTGTTTCAGTGATGGTGTCACCATTGCTCCCATGCCCCCAGCCCAGGACCACAAGAGGCTGATGGATGGAGATGAAGGCCCCAACACAGGAGGGATGGGAGCTTATTCCCCAGCCCCTCAGGTGAAAATGGGTTAATGAGGAAGGGAAATGCATTGATAAGAAAGGGGAAATGGACTGATAAGGGGATGTTTCTCTCCAGCTGTTCCACAGCTGTCACAGAAAGCCTGTGGGAGTGTTTAGTTCCAATGTGAGGAGCAGGAGGGAAGGGGCTCTGCTGGATGGAAAGAGCTGCCTATAGCAGACATGGCCAACTAAAATCCCCCACTTCACACATTTCTCTAAAGAGGAGGATCTCTCTACTGAATTATCTGGAATTGGGGTCTGATTGGGGTTTAAGGGTTTTAATTATGAAATGCTGCTCAGTAGAACCAAATGCTTAAACCCACAGTTTTATCTTGTGCCAAACAGAGCTAATGATGGACTTTTGCTATGGCTTAAGGTAGTTTGGGGTCTGTTTGACAAGGAATTTCTATTGGCAGAAACAGAGAGGAAAACATTCCTGGCTTTCCATTGGAGTGAGCAAGAGACCACCCAAGAGTTCTGCTTGGCTCTTAAAAACACAATTCTGTTTACAAATCCTGGTTTCTAACCCTGTTTTGTTAGATCTCTAAAGATTTGCTGCAGAAGATAAGAGAGACTGTTCTTCAGAAGACTGTKGATGGCATGAGGAAAGAAGGTGTCCCCTATTTGGGTACGTACAAAACTTTGAGATTTTTAATTATAAGGAGAACAAGTTTTTATTTTGTTTTTTCCTCTTTATAGCCTAACTCACACTGGAAGTTAAGGGAAACAGCTTGAATTATTTGGGAACTGGATTTGGTATCAGTGGCTTGATTCAGAGTCCATGGAAATCAATAGTTGTCATTTCATTAATGGGGATAATTCCTCAAGCAAGGAAGAGCAGAAAAGAAAACAAAAATAAGCTGCTAAATTGTGACCACAATTGCTTCTGCCTGATTTATTTTTAACACTTCTCAMATTCACTGAGCACAGGTGGCAGCCTTTTAAACCCTGTTATCAACAGATGGAATTGATAACTCTCCAATGAGTTCCTGAGATAGCTTTTGGTATCATTTTTTGTTCTAGGTGTGCTTTATGCTGGATTAATGCTCACCAAAGATGGACCTAAAGTTCTGGAATTTAACTGCAGGTTTGGTGACCCAGAGTGTCAGGTGAGTTATTTTGTTGGTAGCTACAATTGGGCCTTATAGGAGCAGAAAAATCTGTGATGATCTGCCACTATTGTTAACCAATCTTGGGGTGAATCATCAGCTCATTGCACCAAGATTGAAAATATTTGGGTTGTTTATTCAAGGCAGAGGGTTTGTTAGGAAATTGTTCCATTCCAGAGAAGATTTCAGTAGGTTGCATTAAAATCTGGGCTTTGCAAGGGACAGCTTGAGAGGAGTTCAGCACTTCCCTGTCTTTTCTGGAATGGATTCTGGAWTTTTCCTTACTTCTTGACATGAGGAACATAAGTCTTAATTTGTGTTCATCAGAACAAATTAGRTTTTTTCTCCCTCCATATGTAACAATTCTTTTACACACTGAAATTCTCCTCAAGGAAGGGTATTTTTAGGGATTCACAGATTATAYACTGTATGTGTAAGGTGTGAAAATACAATTTGTGTACATATTTCATGCATTTTTACAGCTGCATTAGTGTTTCTTCAAGGCCAGGGCAGACAATGCAGGAACAGCTTGTTTCATTAGCTGCTGTGTGTTTCTGTAGGTGATTCTGCCCCTGCTGAGGAGTGACCTGTACGAAGTTATGCAGGCAGTGATCAACAGGAAGCTGGCCAGCTCCATGCCAGCCTGGAAGGAGGACAGTGCAGCTGTGACTGTGGTCATGGCCAGCCAAGGCTATCCAGGGTCATATCCCAAGGGCTTGGAAATAACAGGTAAATGGAGCAGGAGAAGCTGCAGGAGGCTCCTTCCTGCCCTGGCCTCTCCCTGCTACACGAGGGTGATCACCAGAACTGAGATTCGTAGAAACCCTGGCTCTGGGTCAACAAGAACAGCTCAATTTCCACACATCTCAGTTTATTTTGGTGCATTTGCAGGTCCCTGCTCTGTCGTTATTTGATATTGGCACAGCACTGATATTTAATAGCTGCTGCAGTCAGGTGGTTCTGGTCAGGGTTCTAGGGTSACGTTGATGCTGTTTTGTGCTCTGGGTGTCACTGAGGCACAAAAACCCAGCTAGAGTTAGATGTTGTGTGTSAGCTGAATGCCCTTCCCACAGCCCTGAGCACACAGGTACACTTGGCTCTGCTCCAGAGGGATTTTTTACRGATTTATTCCTTTCCCAGCAGGTTCCCACTGGCTTTCATTTTGGTTTCTAGACATGAAGTACTCAATATCTCTTCATTGAGAACACTCTTAACTGACAGATTATTTTTTTTAATCCCCCCACAGGGCTTGCTAAGGCCAAGCAGCTGGGGCTGGAGGTGTTCCACGCAGGCACAGCCCTGAAGGATGGCAGGGTGGTGACCAGCGGGGGCAGAGTGCTGACAGTCACGGCCATCAAGGAGGACCTGCCGGCAGCACTGCGGGAGGCCAACCTGGGTGTGGCTGCCATCCACTTCCAGGGGGCCATCTACAGGAGGGACATTGGCTACCGGGCCATAGCCTTCCTCAAGCAGTCCAGGTAGATATTCCAAATCCCTGAAATGGGAATAGCTGGCGTGAAAAGGATCTAAGCACATCCCTAGTTGATAGCAATAACTGGTGTTGATATTCTGTGTAACCCGTGACAAGTTTTAACCCCTTCTTGGATTCAACCTCAGCCAGACCAGCCAAGGCAGGGACATTTTGGATGCCTCAGCCATGTTTTTACTCTCCTAAATGTGAGTTAAACCACAGTGACAAGCACACAGGAATGATCTGTGTCACTGCAGTTGTTAGGTCTGGTTTAGGAAAAGTAAACTTCTGCTTCTTAGACCTTGAATCACAGCTTTTGCTCTGGGTTTGTATTGTCCAGAAGTCTAATATTGAATATCATGAAATGTGGTCACAGCCCCGAGGCTGCCAGAGCTCCAGGAGCATTTGAACAACGCTCTCAGGGRCAGGGTTGGGTTGCTGGAGTGTCTGTGCAGGGCCAGGAGCTGGACTGGGTGATCCTGTGGGTCCCTTCCCAATCAGCATATTCCATGATTCTATACATGAACAAAGTCTGAGCTGCTTTATTGGTTCTTTTTAGTTTTTAGAAATGGTTAAAATCWCCTTGAAGCCCTTACTTTGTTGGGATTTACATTTTACAGGGTAGGATTCATCCCTTCTTTCCATTCTCATTCCTTTAACTGTCACAGTATTTACTGTAACACTGGAGATCATATGGGTGTGGGTTTGGTTTTTTTTTTTTAAAGCAGGGAGTCCTGTTGTCTCTTTAATGTTCCTGAAAGCTTTTTGTAGGTTTTTAGACTCATTTTTACCTAATAAGAAACTGCTCTGCTCCAAGGAGCTCCCAACATGCCTTTTCCCAAGGGGTTGTTTTGTAGGCTGGGAAGCACAGCAGTAACAGTTCTGTTGCTGTTGGCAGTGTATCCTGACGGGTATTTTGTAAAATTATGATCAATAAACTTTCTAAAAGAACAAGGGAGTTGGTATTTAGTCTTCTTTCTCTCTCAAGTGCTCWGCATCTATGGGCAAATTGATGTGAAAACGTGGAATTGGGATCRGTAGCAGAAAAAATCAGGTCAGTGAGGCAAGGGGAGGCACTTTGCTGTGCAGGTCCCTGCCACCCTGGGTTCCTGGGCCACAGCCAGCAGGGCTCCTGCCTGGAATTTTGCCTGGGAGGATCCCTGGCTTAGCAGGGAGACTCCTGGAGCTCTTTACTGCTCTGGAGGCTGCTGCAGTTCTGCTCCTGAAGGGGCACAACAACCCAGAATCCCACACGGTGCTGGCTTGGAAGGGACCTTAAAACTCATACTGGGACACCTCCCACCATCCCAGGCTRCTCCAACCTGTCCCCTTTGGAGTCAGTTAAGGAAAGGCTCTGGAAATTTGGGGACTCACCTTCACCTGGCAGCCTGGCAGGATTCAGTCCTAAGGCATTTTACTTCATAAAAATAGCCAGAATGCTTAACAAGAAGTGTTCCAGAAAATGTAAAGAATGAAAGATTCATTTAAAGCATCAAAGCAAATACCAACAATCTTTTATAAAAATTGAAATACTCCTAAAAATACAGTGAAATTCTGGTGAACATTTATTATGTGCAGGCTGAAAGAGCCTGACTTTGATCCCTGTTTGTTGCAGGCCAATATTCCCATCAGTCTTGTTCACAGCCCGGACAGCTGCCAGTGGTGATTATTGTCCTCTTGCCAATTTTTGAGCAGGGATATGCTAGAAGTGCAGACACCTTTGGATTTTCCTGCTCCTGGCCCAGTTGTTCTGGCATTTAAAGTCTTATCAATTCCAGATATTCCTGCAATGATCTTCACAACAGAAATAGCTAAAAAAACCCATTTCCTTAAGATTTAATAGGCAGAGTACAAAATATTTACCCCATTTAATGTAATTGTAGATGTTTGTGTCTGTCTCTGACTTTTTCAGTATCTGCTGAATTCTTGACCTGGTACTTGAGATGGATTTCATGGATTAACTGAATTTTTTTTGTTCAGCTGAATCAATTTTAAATGAGTTTCAGTTGTTTTGTTGTATTTGTCCTTGTCAATCAACAGTGTTGATTTGTCCTTGTTAATCAACACCCTTAGAATTCAAACTTCAGACTGAATCCCATCGGTAAGAGAGAGAAAACAGGGATGGACCTAAAATAGGGATGCACCTGGTCCATGGCATTGACAGCCTGGGAATAACAACTGCTTAACTGTCACGAGCTGTCTTTGGTGGGACTAAAAGAGGCATTAAAGTCCCTGTCCCCAAAARGGAAAGGTCCTTCTGCAATTGTGAGATGGTGCTTTGTGTCCCAGGGAGCTGTGGGGACACACAGGKGACACCAGCTTGTACCAGTGTGTTGATCTTACATAAACCCCACCCAGAGCTTACAGACATCYCTAGACTCCTGAACCCCACCTTAGGAACCTGGGGGGTTTTTAAGTAAATAGAAAATATAGTCTTTAATAGAAAGTGTATTTAATTAAAGAGGAGGCGTGGCTGGTTTTGTGGCGGGATCATTCCAGCAATAAGGAAAATAACCTTTAATAACCTAAGATAACCTTTKGCAGCCATAAAACTCCTGGAGGCTGTTGATTTACCTGAGACTCGTGGGTAGAAAAGAAACTTGAGCTCAGCCCTGCTCTGACCCAGCCACGCATTTTGTGCCTGTTTGGGTTTGGCAGCTTTGCCACTGACACCTCAAGGACTGGTGGCACTCAGAGCTCTGGGCTGGTGACAAGGTGCGGATCAGTCACAGCTTGGACTCAATGGTCTGGGAGGGCTTTTCCAGCCTGAGTGATTCTGGAATTCTGTATCTGGACCAGGGATTCAAACCTTGCAAAATCAGGCGTTCTGTCAGGGGTTTTGGTAYTGGTTTTATGTTGGGATTTGACTGTGTGATCCCAGTGCTGTGCTGTCATYTCCGAGACTCTGGAATTACCCATGTGCTGCTCCTGACAGCCTCTCCTCTGACAGCAGAATGGGATTGTGCACAGTTAATCCCCTCAGGGACCTAAAGAAGCAAATGTTAGTTGAAAACACCTGTTTGTGCACTCAGTAATCAGCTCCATCCCATTTCCTCCCACTCTTGCAGGGGCCTGACTTACAAGAACAGTGGGGTGGACATTGAAGCAGGGAACACTTTGGTGCAGAAGATCAAGCCCTTGGCTGCAGCCACATCAAGGTCAGGTAAGACAAGAACCTGCTCCTGTTTTGGTCAYTTCTTGGCAAGGAGGTTTATCAGCTGATCTTGATCTTGATAAAAAGCTGGTATTAATGTGTCCTGCCTGTTTCTGGATGACACAAGAAAGTCTGTGGTAAGCAAATGCCTGTGATAATATTCCAAATGTACAGCTTTTAATCCCCAAATGTCTCTAAACTACATCTCCTGAATGTCAGGGATGTTTGAGAGCACAGTTCAGCCCTGTACAAGGAGAAATGCAAGCAAAAATCCCACCAATTCCTGSTGGGTTTAATTCCATGGATTATTATTTATTGCACAGCGAACTCTGTGGTTTATGGGGGTGAAKGTTTAGAAAGGATATGAGATGTGGAATTCCTCAGACATATTTGGAAGATACTTCTTTTGCTTGACTAAACCAGCAAAATTGATTCATCCTTATTTTGAGGGCTCAGGCACATCTTGCTCTAACAAATAATTCTTCGGACAGATTTAAAATATTTGTTTATGAAATGGCCCTTTTATTTCAGATTAACTGAGAACCTTCTAATGAAGTCAGATATTCATAGAGGGAAAAAAATACAGGTATTGTCACACCAGTACAACAATCCTACCACAATTCGTGCTGTTTCTCAGAAAAACATTCAGTGCAAGGGGAAAATCTGTCAGTYACAGTAATTGTGGACTGTTCAATCACAAAGTTTGGGGGTTTTAGGCTTAGGCTAATGATGAATTAAGAAAGACAAAGCCAACCTAAGCAGATTAGGAGCTCCTCAGTAAAGAGTCTCTAAATGCCAGAGAAAAGTTTCCTGGTGACAAAGCTAAGTCCTGCTGGCAAACCCTGGAGAGGATTTGYGGTGGAGATCCTGGAGAAGCTCTGGAAATAAAGCTGGGCTGTTTTTCTTGTCTCCTGGCTGACAGGCTGTAATGCAGAGCTYGGAGGGTTTGCTGGGCTCTTTGACCTGAAGGCAGCTGGGTACAGAGATCCCATCCTGGTGTCTGGAACCGATGGCGTTGGCACAAAACTCAAGGTAAGGTGGAAATCYATGGCAAAGAAGGGAAAACAGCACAGGGGAAAATGTGTTAGTAAAAAATAGCAGTTGTCTTGTAAAAATACCTACKGGTCTTTCTAAAAAGGGGATGAAAACTGAAATTGTAAAAGAATTAAATACCTGTAAATAGCCAGAAGTTGATATGATGCCTAATATAACTGGCTTTTAAATATTAAGAAAGTAATCAGGAATTTTCATTTTGTTTCATCTCTACCCTCAATAAAGATTATTCATGGAGGAAAACATTTAATCCCAGGGTTTTTGCTGTGTTTGGGCTGCATGGAAACCCTTTCCAGCAGTTTCCTTCTCAGTGCCTTTTGGGTTTGCCAGTGGAGTTAGGAAKAATTCCTGCAGAGAATGAGGAGATGACAATGAACAAAGCTGCACCTCAAGGAGCCCTGGAGGGACAGCAGGAGTTTCGTCCAGTGCTCGCAGATTCCGCTCGTGATTTCCATCCCTTGCTGAGCCTGGCTCGTGTTTCAGGTGCCCAGAGCTGATCCAAAGGCTGTTCCCGTGTCTTGCAGATTGCACAGGAGTGCCAGAAACACGACACCATCGGGCAGGACCTGGTGGCCATGTGTGTCAATGACATCCTGGCCCAGGGAGCYGAGCCCCTCTTCTTCCTGGACTATTTTGCTTGTGGCAAACTCGAGGTGGAAGTGGCTCAAGGCGTCATTGCAGGAATAGCTGATGCCTGCAGAAAAGCTGGATGTGCCCTGTTGGGTAGGAACACTGTCCTTTGGGGATGTGAAAAATCTTCTGTGAGGTCTTAAGAGATGGTTTAATGTGGTTGGTTTCCTTCACTATGGAAGAATCTGGGARGAGTAAAAAACCAAAGTGTTCCATGTCTTTGCTTTCAGTGAAGCTTATCTCTGTAAATCACAGTGGGAGGAAGACAGTACTWTAAAAATTTAGGTTTCAAAATTTAGATTTAGGTACAGATTTAGGTTGGATATTGGGAAAAGATTCTGCCCCTTTTTTCTATTTTTTAGGGAAGTTAAGAACACAAGTTCTTTCTTAGTGTGTAGTCTTGGGACCATTTAGAGGTTTTGAACAAGAGTCTCTTTATGYCCTGGTTGACTTTTCTCCTGCATGAACTGCTGGTCAGCTTTATRTTTGTTTTAAGGTGTTCTCTGCATTTATCAAATATAATCAGCCCATTCATGCTGCAGCAAAGTCTGTGTTAGGTGAGGCCTTGTGATGAAATCACCAAAATGTCAAGATTTTATTTCCAGTTGAAGCTTTTAAAAACTCACCAGACCTTCCTGCAGGAGCTGAATCTTCAGCTCAACAAATTAAGGTCATCACCCCACTGAAAGTGAGGGGCTAAGGGCTTCTCCCCAGCTTGGTTTAGCACAACTGTCCATGGATTTAAGCATTGCATGGCCAAGCACTTCACTTCTCCCCATTTTGTCTCTTGKCTTTTCCAGTCTCCATTTGATCCAGCCCTTATTAAATCTAGGACTGAAAAAAGCAGGTGAAGCTGGAGCATAGGGCAGGGAGTAGAAAGTGGGAAGAGGAGAGAMAAAGGCAGGATTTTGTCCAGAGAAGTTGTGAACTCCCCATCCCTGACAGTGTCCCAGGCCAGGCTGGATGGGGCTTGGGGCAGCCTGGGACAGTGGGAGGTGTCCCTGCTGGGGTGGAGTTGGGATGAGTTTTACAATCCCTTCCAACCCAAACCAATTGGGGATTTTATGATATAAAAAAGGAGTTTTTCAGCACCCCTGCCCTGTGTTTTTGGTCCCCCAGGAGGAGAAACGGCCGAGATGCCAGGGATGTATCCCCCTGGCGAGTACGACCTGGCCGGCTTCGCCGTGGGAGCTGTGGAGCGAGGGCAGATGCTGCCCCAGCTGGACAGGATCACTGAGGGGGATGTGGTGATCGGGGTGGCATCCTCTGGGGTGCACAGCAATGGCTACAGCYTGGTCAGGAAGATCGTGGAGAAGTCCTCCCTGGATTTCTCTTCTCGTGTCGGTGTCGCCGGGGATCAGACACTGGGTACTGCTTCCTTCAGCCTCCCAACAGCTGACACACTTCTTCTGTCTGCACCTCTGAAACTTTCCTCAGGCACCTAAAAACTGTTCTTCTACCCTTAACATCTTTCATCTTTTTTTCCTGGGAGTCACATGTGCAGGGAAGAAATGAAGGGAGGGGGATAAATAATTAATGGTGTGCTAAAAAAAAGGTAGAACTTTGTGCTTCTCTCTCATCCAGTGCTCATCAATATCCAGCTAGTTGCTATTTTGAGATTTCTTTGATTTTATATTGATTAACAATTTTTCCCATGCTTTTTCCCTCTCCCATGGACAGGAGAGCTCCTGTTAACCCCAACCAAACTCTAYAGCAAGACCCTGCTGCCTGTGCTGCGCTCAGGCCACGTCAAAGCCTACGCCCACATCACTGGAGGGGGCCTGCTGGAAAACATTCCCAGAGTTCTCCCAGACTCCTTCGGTGTCGTTTTAGGTGAGAGAAAAGAAAAGCTGTGGAAAAATCCTCATGTTAATGGGGATTGCTGTGGAAGCCTGTGGACACGGGGCTGCAGCAGCTGCTGGTGGAATTGCCTGTCTGSAAATTTTTGAGTTCCTCCTTGTACCTGAACCAGAGCCAGTAAAAACCCTCTGTGGTGGAGGGGCTGCTCCCCATTGAATTCCCTCCCCTGGTGCTGTTTGGGATTGGATTTCCTAGGACACTTGCAAAAAGAAAACAAGCTGACACCAATCCCAAGTCAGCTGTTGCCATTGGCAAGTCCCCATGAAATGATTGCTAATTAAATGATAGTCAGGAAGTCTGCAATTAGCATTCAGAGGTGGTTGTAAGCTCAGGGACATCTCCTGCTGTTTGATTGAATGAATCCTCAGCACTCTCCTCTCGGGTGAGGGAAGGGATTCACTGGCAGGGAAGGTGAGGGGTGGGAAGGGAAAGGGATGGCACAGGTGCTGAGAGCTCACGGGGCTGGACACTGAAATGAGGGATTAACGGAGAAATCTGAACTCCAGAACTGCACATAAACCATTCTTCCCCTTGTCCACTGATGTATCTTTGTGATATATAACCTCTGCTCCAGAGCCAGCCTGGGAGAGCTGGGGGTGCTCACCTGGGGAAGGGAAGGATCCAGGGAGAGCTCAGAGCCTCTGCCAGGGCCTGAAGGGGCTCCAGGAGAGCTGGAGAGGGACTGGGGACAAGGGCTGGAGGGACAGGAGCCAAGGAATGGCTTCCCAGTGCCAGAGGGCAGGGCCAGATGGGATATTGGGCAGGAATTGTTCCCTGGGAGGGTGGGCAGGTCCTGGCACAGGGTGCCCAGAGAAGCTGTGGCTGCCCCTGGATCCCTTTGAGTGCCCAAGGCCAGGCTGGACATTGGGGCTGGGAGCAGCCTGAGACAGTGGGAGGAATGGGATGAGCTTTAAAGGTCCCTTCCCACCTAATGCACTCTGTGATCCCATGATTCTGTAAAAATTGGATAAAACCATTTTAAAAGAGAACATGACAAAAAAGAAATTTCCTGTCCTTGGAATTCCTTTACAGTGCCTTGTCCAGAAGYATCTTTGTGCTGCTGGAAATCATCCTCACCTGGCTGCAACTGGGGCAGTGGGAGACTGGTGACAGTTTTTCCTCTTAATAGCCCAACAATTGTAGTCTGCTGGTAACAATTTCCACTCTTGGTTTGCATTTCCAATTCTCTTCAGATGCACTCACCTGGAAGATCCCTGAAATCTTCTGCTGGCTCCACAAGGAAGGGAACCTCTCTGAGGAGGAGATGGCTCGGACCTTCAACTGCGGGGTTGGAGCGGTGCTGGTGGTGCAGAAGGAGATGGCCCAGCAGGTCCTCAAGGACATCCAGGCCCATGAGACCGCCTGGCTGATCGGCAAAGTGGTGTCCCTACAGAAAGGTMAGTGCAGTTTGGTGTTCCTTGGGAGAAGAGAATCAGAAAGGAAAGAAGAGGGAAATTCCCTTCATGAGGACACTTCACACCTGAACTTCTTTTCAAATCTCTCTTTAAAGTCAGTGGGGTGTTCCCTTTATGGGAGTCTTCATGAGGTGAAAATCTGTTCACTGCAGCTCCCTGATTTTTGGGGGATATTGAGCTGACAGTTCTGTTCATTCATCTGCTCCACGGGTGCTTTTCTCCTCTCCCTGTTTCTCCCTTTACTGACACGTTGTTTTGTTGGGTGTGGGGTTTTTCCTGTACCTGCTCAGGCTCTGACAGCGTTAAAGTCCTCAATCTCCATCGGGCCCTGCAAGCAAACAGGTCCCTGTGTGTGCACAGCCACATCCAGGGCAAGATCCAGACGGGCAAGGTGAAGGTGGCTGTGCTCATCTCTGGAACAGGTGAGAGTTCTGTTCTCTGCTGCAGAGAGAACCAGTCTGTGGGGAAGGGAACTCCAGCTTGGATTTAAAATCCCTGCAGTTACCCATGGACACTGATGGGCTTCTAGCAGGCAGGGGAATTTTGTTCTTGGATTAATGTCAGTCACAAACCTCTTTTAATCTTTGCTGCAAACTGTGAATTGCATTTGTGTTCAGTTTATCTCCAAACCCGTGCACGTGTCCAGATTGGGGCCCCCACTCTGGTGCCCTGTAGGAACACCAGCATCCTGTCACAGATCAGAATTTCTTCTTGCCACAGAAGCACTCCRGCTATTTCCAGTATCCCCAGTAATTACTGAGACCATCATTGAAGTGCTATAAATTACAGTTTCCCCATGCAGCTGCCAGGAAAGGCCCTGTGGCCTTCAGCTGTCTGAATCAGCTCCCAGCAAGATCAATTAAAAAAGGATTTAATGTTACATCAGAGCTGTTTGATCTGGTCTCCCCCACACTGCTGCTTAWTTTAAGCCTCTTCCAGCTGTTCCCTGTATTTATTCTCAGTATCCATGAATTATTTTCTCTTCTCCAGGCACAAACCTGGAAGCCCTGATCAACAGCACAAAGAAAGACACCAGCTTTGCACAGATAGTTCTGGTTATCTCCAACAAACCYGGCGTGGAGGGGCTGAGGAAAGCTGAGAGAGCTGGGATTCCTACGAGGGTGAGCATTTCCTTCTCTTTSTAATTAGCCCCCATTAGCTGAGACTCCAGCAGGAGGGTGCTAATGAGTTTTCTGGAGTAAGAGATGCGCTGACAGGGAACCTTGGCTTTTCTTTTTTGGTCTGTCCTGAACCTGTGCCCTTGGGGAAAGCACCTGACAGCAAAATCCTTCATTTTCTCCTTCCCTGCCAGCAATCCTGATGCTTTGGGAGGGAACAGTTGTTACATTAAACCAGCACAAAACTTTCACAGTTACAGCTTAAACTTCCTCAATTATTTGACTCTAGTGCACTGACACTGAAGTAACAACCTAATTTTATGAGAATTTAATTTTAAAATGACTTGGTGGTTCATTTGAATGGAATAGAGAGGTCAAAGACAGTGGGACCTTCCACTGACTCCCTGGGTGTTAACTCAGGCTCTCCAGGAATCATTCCAAGTGCTCCCTGAGTTTCCATGGATCCCGTGCTGCCTTGCCTTTGTGTTGTAGGTCTGAAATGATCCTGTTGTGGCTTAGAAGCATTTCACAGTCACTTTTCAGTGCTGAGTAGAAACAAAGGAAAATTGGGGCCCAAGGCTTTGCTCCTTTAGTAGGGCTGGGATCTGTCCAGCTCCTCTTTGGGAGGACACAGAGGGCACAAGGGARACGTGGCTGTGGTGTGAAGAACCAGCAGAGAGTCAGCCCCAGACTGGCTGGGGTGGGAAGGGACTTTGAAAYCACCCAGCTCCAGCCCCAGGTTTTTATGAGATAAAGCCCAGAGTGTGGGAGAGCTGCTGGTCCTGGGGGTGAAGCTGTGKGGGGAGAGGTGGAACAGGGCAGGGGCTGGGGCTGGGCTCTGTTCCCAGTGCCCACTATCCCTGCCAGCCCTGGCTATTCCCAAACCCCCCTGTGGCTCTGCTGGGCATGAGCAGGTGCTTCTGTCCAAGACTGGATGCTGTAAGTCAGGTGGGTACTGCCATGATCCTGCCTGAATCAKGGGATGCTTTACAACTGTTAGCCTCCCACGGATCCCTTTCAGTGTCCTGRATGGAAAACATGGAACTCTGGCTGGAGAGCTGGGGGTGYTCACCTGGGGARGGGAAGGATCCAGGGAGAGCTCAGAGCCCCTKSCAGGGMCTGAAGGGGCTCCAGGARAGCTGGAGAGGGACTGGGGACAAGGGCTGCAGGGACAGGAGCCAGGGAATGGCTTCCCAGTGCCAGAGGGCAGGGCCAGATGGGATATTGGGYAGGAATTGTTCCCTGGGAGGGTGGGCAGGCCCTGGCACAGGGTGCCCRGAGAAGCTGTGGCTGCCCCTGGATCCCTTTGAGTGCCCAAGGCCAGGCTGGACATTGGGGCTGGGAGCAGCCTGGGACAGTGGCAGGTGTCCCTGCCATGGCAGGGGTGGCACTGGGTGGGCTTTAAGGTCCTTTCCAACCCAAACCAGTCTGGGATTCTGTGATTCCATGATTATGCAGGAGGGGCTGATTTAGGAGTTTGTGATCAGCCCTTTTTTCAGTGTTTTCTGGTATAATTTCTGCCAAGATTCAACTGTCTAAAACCACCAGAAACCTTAAATTGAGTGAAACTTTGGAAGACTTTAGGATGGCCTCAACCCCTGCACTTGTTGGGTGTTTCATGGTGTCCAAGGGCTGGGGCTGAGAGCTGTGGGCTCATCAAACCACACTTTTGAATTCCTTTGATCCCTGTCTGTGAGGAGTGCAAACCCCAGCCCTGCCTGTCAGCTGTGCCCCTGGGAGCTGCTCTTGCTGCTGCAGTTCCCAGCACATCCCTGTTCCTGTGTCTGGGCTGCCCAGGTGATTGAACACACGAGGTACCAGAGCCGCACCGAGTTCGACAGCGCCGTGGACAAAGTGCTACAGGAGTTCTCAGTGGAGCTGATCTGCCTGGCCGGATTCATGCGCATCCTCTCGGGTCCTTTTGTCAAGAAATGGGAAGGTGAGCACGGCTGGGGGTGTGATGGAAACAAAGGCATTTCAGAGCTTGGCAGCAGGAAAAGGAGAGAGGKAACCAGATCAAACAGGATCAGCTTCAAGGTCACCTTGAAAGGACACTCTTCCCATCTCTTAAGGAAAAGGATGAGAGGGAAAGGCACTGTTTCCCCTTTCCCTCTCTCATTTATGCAGAGCTTTAAGGAAGCCAAGGGTTAACACAGGTCTGGTAGTCTTTGATTTCCTAGAAAATATTTCAAATAAGGCTGTGAAGACTTTGGACTGCTGCAGACAGGAGATGCAGGCAGGAATTGGCTGGGGAGAGGTCACCACTGACCACTGAGAATTCCTCTCCCTGACAYGAGCTGCTCTGGATCTGTGTGAAACCACCAAGCTGGGCAGCATTTTGCAATTTGGGGTRACAAACCCTGGCCAGTCCCAGGCCACACGTCAGGAGCAGCCTGAGTCCCTGAGTGGGATGGGGTGAGGTGTTCCACAGGCAGATCCAGGTGCTGCTTGCCCAGAATGTTCAGTGTCTCTGCTCTGCTCATCTTGGAGTTTTGCAGCTCTTTGAGAGGCTGGTGACACCTTCAGGGCTGCTCTCCCTTCCTCAGCTGTTCCTTTTCTTCCCCTCTGTGTTTCCCAGGAGCCCTGAAAGCTGCTTTTGCTCTGCTTTGGGCCAGGGTCACCCAACCCTGCCCAGGGCAGGTACAGCCTGCTCAGCCWGTACCCACAGCTTCCACTGCTCTCTTGGTGACTTGTGTGTTCCCTGGGTGTTGTGGGACACTTCCCAGCTGAGCTGCTTTTCAAATCTCTCTTTAAAATCAGTGGAGCAGAGCAGGAACTCCTCAGAGGCCCTGSAGTGATTTGAAGGTGTCCGGTGAAGGCAGACAGGGGAATGGGGTTTATTTCTCTCCATTCAGACTCCAGAGGGTGTCAATGCCTGTGCTGTGGGCAGCTGTCAGGAGCAGAGAGAATCCCCCACTCCAAGAGAGGTGTTTGGAGTAGAGAAGCTCTGTAGACAATGGAAAAGAACTTCCTCTAGAGCAGAATCTTGTGCAAATCAAGGATTTTAGTGCCTTCCGATTTAGGGATCCTGCACAGTGCAGGGTTTGTTTTACCTGCCTGCCTGGTGTGAGAGCAAAGGAAAGACTTTTTCAGGACAGGAGGGTTAAACTCCGTTTTAAATATCCAGCACTGAATTGAGCTTGAAAACCTGAGCTGGGCCAGCCCCAGGACCCTGCCATGGCCGTGTCTGGGCACTGATCCCCGCAAATTATTCAGGAGGGATCAATTCCTGCTGCTGCTTTGGTCAAAGCTGCTCCTTTTCTCTCACAATCACAAGGACACAGAGTAGGGGTTGTGAAAGTCTTCCTTGCTTAACAGCCCTGAAGTGTGAATTATGGCTGTTAACAAAGGACAGGTTAAAGTGCTAATTATGAATGTTGACAGAAAGGACAGGCTAAAGTGTTAATTAGGAATGCTGACAGGAAGGACAGGTTGAGGCACAACCAAACCCAAGCAGACAGGAACCCACATCCCATTCTGATGGGAAACGGAGGCAGAAGAGCAGAGTGGTGTTCCCAGCCCTCTGTCCCTGATACCTTTTGGGYTCAAGCAGCAGGGAGGGAGATGCTGATGCTTAAAAAGGGTTTTGTGAGATASAAAATTCATCTGAGACATTGCTGGAGATCAGGTGGGACATTTGCCTCTTGTGACCTACCCAGCTCTCTGTGTGCAGGGAGGGCAGGGGCTTCCAGCTACCAGGAACAGAGAAAAATAAAACAGAAATAACAGAAATAAATTAATAAAATAATAGTAATAAAGCCCTGGAGCAAAGGAGGCTCCAGGGGGACCTTGTGGGTCTGCATAACTCCCTGACAGGAGGGGGCAGCTGGGGAAGTTGGGCTCTGCTCCCAGGGAACAGGGACAGGAGGAGAGGGAACGGCCTCAGGCTGGGCCAGGGGAGGCTCAGGGTGGACACCAGGAGGAATCTGCCCATGGAAAGGGTGCTCAGGCCTTGGCAGGGGCTGCCCAGGGAGCTTTGGAGTCCCCATCCCTGGAGGTGTCCCAGGAAGGGCTGGAGGTGGCACTGAGTGCTCTGGGCTGGGGACAAGGTGGGCATCGGGCAGAGCTGGCACTCCATGGGCTGGGAGGGCTTTTCCAGACTCAGGGATTTTGTGATCAAAGGACAAGGGGAAGGGACAGCTCTATCAGCCAATTAGTCATTATAAATGACTCTGGAATTGTGCTTTAGCCATTATTGTAACTGCACTCCGTGGTATTTCAGAAACAGCCCTGCAGCACTTGGGGCTGGCTGCTGTGCCTTCAAAACTTGTGAAAACTCTTATTCACAAATGGTTTTATTCCTCTCTTGGTTGTGGGACGGTGAACAGGCTGCTCAGTGCTGAAAGCCAATAAACTCACTTGTGCTTTTCCAGGGAAAATCCTGAACATCCACCCATCCCTGCTGCCGTCCTTCAAGGGAGCCAACGCGCACAAGCTGGTCCTGCAGGCCGGGGTCAGGGTGACAGGCTGCACCGTGCACTTCGTGGCTGTGAGTACCCCTTCCCTCCTGCAGCTCTGGGAACCTCCCCTTTGAACACCTGCCCCTCCCTGGCTCTCYCTAACCCATCAGTTTTCACATTTTCACCTCTAAGCCTGCTGGGAACACCCTCAAACCCTGATGTCTGATCACCTGCCCTCATCTGTGCTTTTAGAACTTTGGATCTAAAAATGAGGGAAGTTTGATTGGGACAATGCAGTGCTTTCATTTGCTGAYTCTGCAGAGGGAATGGAAATGAATTGTCTATCCAGGAGTTTAAGCTTTCCCTGAGRAAATTTCTTCCCTGAGCATCCCACTGCTGCTTTCCACCCACTGGAGTGGGGGAATGGTTCATGTAAGGCCTTTGGCTAAGCCAAAGTCTGTTAAACAGGGCCCCAGTTTCCTGGGTTTTATCCTACAGCCTGG